GTCCAGAGGACCTATACAATTTTTTTTTCCTTTTATGTTAAACATAATTAAACATGTACGTATTTCTAAATTATACTTCCTGTGGAGTGGAGCAATGGTTCCTAAAGTAAGAGTCGGTACTCGTAAAATGTCAAATAAATTGTTTAGAAAAGCTGCAAAATTCAAATAACTTTAAATAGAATCACTTATATTTGGCCCTATGTTACAAAAAAGGTTACATAGTAGTCATAAATTGAAAAATGTATATAAACAGTTTTCTGAGGCTCTTTGTTAAGTGACTTGTTGCAATATTTTAACAAGCAATTTGTCAGGATGATTGGTTTTTGCCAGATGAAACAGATATTTGGCAGATAATTAAAGTAGTATGTGTTGTATTAGTACTGACAATGAGCTGCCACCATGATTAACGTTTTAGTAGCCTTTATCAGTGAAACATGCGGCACATAAAAATAACGCAAATTAGTTCTAATTTCTGTACATTCAGCACATAAAGACGTCTTTTTTTCTAGAGTTCACAATCCTGAAAGAAAGTTAATGGAAAACATGTAAAAATACTTGTTACTGTAACAAATAAGGAGAAACAAGCAGATTTTATGAAACTCAACCCTTCAGGAGTGAGTATGAGCTGAATGTCTGGTAAAATAATCCTCTGCTTGCTCTATTAAACCACAGACTTCCCTCTCATTTTAGGCTTCCATTTGCAATTTTCAGATAAGCACATGAGCTTGTTTTCCTGCATCGTCATGAAAATTAAACGAATCGTAAACTGGCAGCAAAAATGGGCAAACGTAAAAGAAGATTTTTCAACAAAAATACTATATTTGCTCTCATGAAATATGATCTGCTCTATTGTAGAGGAACTAGTGGAGTCCACTGTATGAGTCGACTTTGAAGGTGTGCAAACTCATTTAATTTATTAATGTTTGAACTGGAAATGAACATGTAAGAGATAGCAGAGCTTAATTTGCTACCTGTGATCAGCACTTCAGAGTGCTGCAGGCCTCTGCATGTTTGCATAAGCTCCATGCTTACAGCTAATAATTTGAAAAGGTTGAATCACGAAGCATRCAAATGTGTGAATGTATGCAAGGTTTATTTTAACACTGAACTGGAAAACTAGAAATGGGTTCCTCTGACTTTAACATGTGTAAGCTTAAATGCTTTCCCTTCTGTTTAACATTCTTAAACAAAATAAATTATTTCCCTCTGTTTCCTCAAATGTTTCTAGTGGAAGAAAGGAGAACCCCCACGCAAAATCCCCACCCCCAAAAAGTCATCTGCCTCGGTGCCATTTCAGAGTGTCAACCCACCTCTGGAATTTCAGCGAGGGGAAGAAGAGGAAGCAAATTATGGGAGACAGAGTGTAGCTGCAGCAAAGGAAAAAAGGGAAAAGGAGATTGTTTCAACTCCTCAGAAGACGCTTTGTGTACTGAACACATACATGACACACACCTTGTGTGAAAGCTTCAGTGAGACCTGCTCCTGTCTAAGATATTTAATGAGCGTAAAGCCCTGGCAGGAATAATCAGAGCTCCCAGACCAAAGTCAGCCTCCTGGGAATCAAAGCAGCCCGGCTGCTCACAGTGTCAGACATGCAGCTGCTTACTTTGATCGGTGGGTTTCTTCTCCTGCTCTACATCTCCTCTGGCAGCACAGAAACGTACAGGTAAGTCAGTCAAACAGGGCAATAGAGCCCATCTGCAGCAAGTCCAAACCTTGCTTGGATATTTAGTTAAAACAGAAAACTTAAATGTTCAAATTTGATTTCAGGTGTCTCCACAAGAAACTTGCAGGGAGTCAAATAGAGAATCTTCTTATTTCCATTTCTAAAGGAAGCTTTAAGAATATATTGCTTTTTATTGAATTGTGTACTTAAAATCTTTATATAAGTATCTGTTGTTTTGATGTATATGCCCTGGCTGCTCCGGCAGAGGATGTATATGCGTCTGCTAAATCTGGCACAGCAACTGTTAATAAGCAAAGAGCACCTGTCACACTTTGGGGTCGCTTCTCTCTGGGCTATTCCTGTTAATTTCTGTCAAGTCTCAGATTCCTCCAGTCCCAGCGGAGCCCAAGCTGCTTTTAGTATTTAAACTCCCACAACAGCAAAACATCAGGAATATTGAAATTTAGTTCTGGACCTAAACGTGAACATAATGATGCTGAGAAATGGTCGTTTTTAACATGAGATTCACCTGATTTATTTGGCAAGCTAAAAATACACTTCCTGCAATGCAATCTGTGTTTACTCCAGGTTATTTCAGTTGTAATGCTAACTCCTTAACCACAGCTTAGAATAACACTAGATTTGCATCTCAGTAGAGTAACAAGACTCTCAAAAAGTTCAAGGTGAATTTGAGTTGTGCATTGGGTATGACTGTGCGGAGCATCTGGTTTGTGTTTTCCTTTCCTTCCTGTCAGCTGGCTGTYGCTCCACAGGGAGCCTCACTTCTATCACCCAACAAGCCTGTGAGGAGACACTTTATATGACTTTGTTTTCAGAGCCTTGATTTTAAAAAGAGATTTTTAAAAAGAGAGTCAGCTTTGGGAGAGCTTAAGGGGAACAYATGCAAAATCCACTTTTTTAATCATTAAATACATTTTAATCATTAAATACATTTCGTTGTACTTGGAGTCTCTAGGAGTGCAGAAACATTGGGCCTCATGCAAGAACCGTTCGTACGCACAGATTTGTTCTTAAATTGTGCGTACGAGTGATTTAGGAGAATTTGTGGCA